AACGTCGGGTTACTTGACTACATAAAAACCATTTTTGATGTGAAAAAATGTTACTGCATTCATGTTTTTCCGGATGCATGGTACCAAATGATTGAAGTATTTTTCGACCACATTTGTAGGAAACGCTTCGTCGCTGTCCTGAACCGCTCATCCCCTGAGTCGGCCAAATCTTGCCATTAAAAAATGGTTTATCGCTGGATCTTTTCTTCTGCAATGTATTAAATCAATATGAGTATGCTAGGGTTCATTGCCTCCCACGCGACTTGCAAACTATCGCATTTAAATAATCTTTGCAGCTGCAACGGTTCCCTTCTCAGTATTTTAAGACGTACCTCTTGTTTGGAATGAAGATCTCTCTCTCTCTCTCTCTCTCTCTTGGTTCTCAGAATACACAGCGGGTGTCTCTAATTTTCCACTAAAGCCGATGATGCTTGTTTTAGGTCGCGAAGGCTTTTTGCACTTTGCCTTTTCATTGCTATTCGGTAGGCGGGGATTATGTAGGCCCTGTCATTTGTTGCTCTATATTTGCTACTTGTTTCATTTCGATAGTTCGCTATAATTTAACAACATTGCTTCATACAGATTGGCGAAGTTGAGAGATCTGGATTGTCAATTTGAGAAATAGGGTGAGCTTGTCGAAGCAGATTTATTCAAATGCTACCGTTTGGGAGAGTTGGGTCGGCTCACTTTTATCGAAGTGGCAGTCGCAGTTAGTCTAACTAAACCGGAAGAGGCTTGCCATGAACTGTTGTTCGACCTTGAACTGACCGATTTTTTTGTTTATTACCTGGCCGTTTGGAGGATGTTTGGCTGCCAGTTCAACTACGTGTGTTATGAGTCATCCCCTCGATGAGGGAAGGGGAGGGTTGAGTCTCTACCGTTGTTGTTCGTTCTGGGGGCTCTTCGTCGAGGAAGTGAGTTAGTTCTTGGGTTGTGTATGTGAGGCTTTCTTGAGTTCACGTAGTAAAGGTAACCGTGAGTTGAGCATGTGCTTCATTTGTATTTTTTCGTAAACTAGCGGCATTTCGCATGCATCATAGTTTTCTGGTGCAAGTCCTCTTATTGCAGATCATAGTG